AGCAGGGAGCCCGATGCGGGACTCGATCCAGGGACTCCAGGATCATGACCTGAGCCGAAGGCAATCGCTTAACCGACTGAGCCACCCAGGCGCCCCCGTAGCTGTTTTTAAATGATCATTGAATGTATAGATGAACTAGCAGATGGAAAAAGGGTACTTATTTATTTTTAGCAAGATGTGCTTTTAATTGAAGGCTCTAAGTCTTTATTTTAACTTCACGGCATTATATGATCACTTTTTATAGTTTAAAATATTTGAAAATTTAAGGTTCTCAACCATCATAATTATCTCAATTCTGTCCTAGCCAAGAGTATCCATCAACTGTACCACATAAATTACTCCCCATATACATAACGGTGTGTGCAGATATATGCTTCTAATTCATATGAACTAATACCAGGAAGTATATTTTTATCATCTCTAGAACAGTCTCAGGATGTTAGATATTTTGCTAAGAATCACCTGTACATTAGGGAATAGACCATATAAAATAATTTTATTTAGAGTTTTAAAAATCTATTTTTGAAAGAGGACAGAATATCTTTCTATAAATCTTATATAGTTATACAAATACAAATACATATAAAAAACAATAAGGTGGTTAGACTCATAAGCAGCACAATAGAAATTTAAGTATAATTCTTACATAAGCAGAGAAATAAAGGGCACAGTATCTATACATGCTCTCCTCTCTTGAAAGTCATTAAAATGCCTTGTTCTATGGTGTTGATTTTACATTAGAAATATATCTAATCTACTGAGAGACTGAGGGCATATCTTCTGAAACATTTTGGCTATTTCAGATTCACATGCACGGGAACAATTACAAACAAAGCTTACTTCAGCATTTCCCACACATTCTTCCTCTGGAATATGGTGGTACAGAATTCTCCATGGAGGACATTTGTCAGGAGTGGACAAATTTTATAATGAAGTCTGAAAATTACCTCAGCAGCATTTCACAGATCAGTCAATGAGAAGAAGTTACTTAATGTCAATGACTTCCTAATTATAAATACATGAGTGAGATCCTGCCTGGTTATATGAATGAAAGAAAAAAATCCTTTAAGCTAATTAACATTTTTCTGATTGATCTTTTAAAATGTAAAACTCTTCTGACATGAGCAACATGGATATTTGGGAAACTTCTTGACTTTTTAAATGCATTTTCTGTATCTTTCAAGTAGTTAAATGTTAGTATACCTTAAAAGCATAGAAAGGATTCCTGATTTTTATACTTGAAAGTATCTCCTAAAGTAGCTGTTTCTGAAAAGTTTCATTTTCCACAAGTTATCTGACTACATTGGTTTAGTAATAAATGTATAAATGGTCCACTGAAAAGAAGAATTAGCACAAATCAACTGATGATGAAAATTATTAACTCCCATCTTGGGTGGATGTCAGATTAGATTATAATTCAGATTAAAATCTGAATACAGTTTTACAGAGTTATTCTGTGGACCAGCAAGATAGTTCATCTCAGGAAAGTTCTATTTCAGTATATTTACACAACAGAAACTTTTGATTGAGGAGTCTGTACACCATAAACTATTGTATGTAGCATCTAGACCTCTTTATGAAATTACTCATGTTGATACAATTGATAATCAAAAATAATTTAGGAAATATTTCAGGTATAGCTGATGGTTTCTTAATATTATTTCTGCATTTTCAAATAAATCTAGAATGTAATTTTGACTTCAGTTTTTGGTTATTCTTATCATGACTACATAGAGAATTAGAAATGGAATACTATTTAATTGTCATACATGGACTCTATTTTTAATTGAACAATAACACAACTACACAAAAGAAAGGAAATGTTTACATTTTAAAAATCACTGTCAGTTACACCTGGAACTTTTCACATTATGTATGAAATAATTTTACTTTTACTATATATCAGAATATTCTAGCCAAATTCTAATTCACATTTACTTTAAAAAACCAGTAGTTAAAGTGTGCTGTTTGTATTATAGTTTATGTCAAAGAATATTTCATTTATTGACACAATGTCAGTATAGCTTTCAATTTATGACAATTTGATAGTGTTTCATGATTTTTTTTATTTTATTTTAAGCTTGAAAATAAAAAAACACAGGGTGTAAAATTTGTTAAACATTTGTTCGGCTTACTTGGGTTTCAACATTAATCATACAATAGTATCTTTGTGAAAGGATATATGAAGGGTGTTTTTCTTTATAAGAAAATTATTCTAATCAGGTGAGCTGATACTTGTGATTCTCTGTACGTATGTCTATGAAAAAATTGAGAGCACTTGTGAATGTTCTTTAGAGAACATACTTAATTTTGACTTGGCATTGGGAAGCTAACTTTACATTATAATTTTTATTAAAAAATTAGATCATGCCTGTTTTCTAAAAAAAAAATTATAAAGTCTTCCTTACAAAATCATATAATTCACAAAATTGTATAATTAGAAATAACAGCAGAATAAACTCATTGAAAAAGAATAAACAATAACAAGAACAAAAAGCTCTGGTTTACCCAACTTTTATTCCTCTGTAAAGGAGGTTTATATCAGAGTTCTACTTAATTTGCTTTTGGGTACTTAAAACACTTTCTTATGACACTGTGAAGCACACGAATAAAGGGTAATATTTAAAGATGTCTCTTAAATGTGATTTACTGGTGATGTCATTAGCAGTAAATAGAATTAAAATACGTCAATCAACAGAAGTACATTTCATGATGGGACTTTGACATTTTTTTTAAATATCACTGAAGAACATTAAAAGAACAATGTGAAATGAGCAGGCAATTTTACAAGGTGGTAAGATAAATAACTATCTAATTGTCTCTATTACTTTACTGTAATTGCACCAGAAGTGCCGTTTATTTATAAGGTTAACACTAACATGTGCTCAGTATGTTATTGAACTGCACAATAATTTATTTGCTTTAATATTGTTCAAAAGAAAATAAAGATCTTTCACATAAACAATAGCTGTTTCTTTTTCATTTTTAAATACAATACAAATATTAGGTGATTGTTCTCAAAAATTGCTTTTCTTTACAGATAAGTTTAAGAAAAACTAACCACATCTGGTTGTCCATTACACAAATGCTAGTTTTTCCTCTGTAAGTTTTCATTACAGGCTGCTTTTCCAGGCTGCTGAGTTCAACACTATCTTCCTCTAGTGTCTTTTGCTGTGCTTAAAGGGACCACAAACTAATATCATGAAATTAAGCCATGCAGATTTAATAAGCTAAAACTTCTAAGCGAAAAAAGAGTGTGCTACTTAATCAGATAATTTAATTTTGAAACGATCTGCTGTTAGGCTAGATTGTGATTTTATATTTATATTATATATTTTTAATATATATATATATTTTTAAAGATTTTATTTATTTATTTGAGACAGAGAGAATGAGAGAGAGAGAGCACATGAGAAGGGGGAGGGTCAGAGGGAGAAGCAAGCTCCTTGCTGAGCAGGGAGCCCGATGCGGGACTCGATCCAGGGACTCCAGGATCATGACCTGAGCCGAAG